ACTTCTCCATTCTGTATGTCTGACTCCCTCCATGTCTGGCTGGCAAAAACCTGCCTCTCTTCTCATTTCCTGTCCCTGCCCAGAAGTACCACTTGGCCCCTCCTGCCTAGCTATTGGCCATTAAGGTCTTTATTAAACTAATCAGGTGCCTTCCGCAGGTTTGGAAAAACATTGCTACATCTTCACACAGTATAAACAATTTTCCCACAACATTCTCGAGGATCTGAGGGAGAGTAAGCCAGATTTCATCAAAATTACCGTAATGGTCCTCTTTTAAAGGTAGTTGACATCTCTGAGTTTTCCTGCCATCTAGCACACAGAGAGAAGAATGTCCTTCCTGGTAAATCACAAATGTGAACTGTCTACCTGGATTCACAATGAAGCATGAACCAAGCTAAAGAAATAATATGTGGGTGTGCATATATGTAGCTGTGATTTCGTGTGTATTCCTAGATGCACAGTGAAACCTATGTATGTATGTTATGCTGACAGAAATGTGTCTGTAGCACCCCCACCATTCCTACCCCTAACTTGGGCTTGTGCTTGTCTAAGCATACAAAGTCTACAGAATTGTTGGGTTCAAATACACCCAATCTCTGAGGATAAGCCCCAGCTTATTTCCCACATTTTAGCAGTTTCCATGGGGATGCTAGTAAGGATGCCTGGAATTTGGAGATAAGCCCAGGATTACTTCTGCTTTAAAGTCATCATGAAACCTTGTTACAGGACTCAAGTTAAATTGTGCAAGGTATCTCTATAAGCTTCGATGGGGCAAAGCTACACACTCACTCACTCCAGAAAACTGAGCTTTAAAGAGCAAAAACAAGGCAGGGTTGTTCAAAAATTTATCTGCGGGCCTCAAACTTAACATTTAAGAGATGGTATGCTTATGTTCTGAAACTAAAATAATAGTCTTTCTTCCTTCCTTCCTTCCTTCCTTCCTTCCTTCCTTCCTTCCTTCCTTTCTTTCTTTCTTTCTTTTTTTTTTTCCAAACTAGCCTTGTGGAAAGCACCTCAGCTAAGAACTCCTAGTGAGATACTGACTTGGAAAAAATAACTTGAAAACTAGGTCAATCCTACTTAGGCAGATGTTTGAGAAAACCACACAGTAATAAAACAGAATTATTCATAACCATATGATATTTTAGTGTTTTCTTTATTGCAGAATGTTATAATTACTGTACTACATACATAAGTATATCTAAGCGATATTTTACATGTGCTACTAACATAGCTAAAATATTGTCATCCTCCTTTTTTGTCATATATTACCGTTCAATTGATAGTCAGCACCTAAAATATAGGGCAGGGAATTTTGATTAAGTCTCGTCAAACTTGTGTTGCCTTTGGCTGAAGGACATTGCAGGCCATCCAGAAGACATACTCTGGTAAGGAATGAGGGTGCATACGAAAAGGAATTAGGACTGGAAAGTATTGCTGAAAATAAAGCATGAAATATCAGAAATAATTTCCTCAAGGGAACCAACAGATTCTCTATGTCTTTACAGACTTCAAACTTGTCTAGCTTGCCTGTTCTGAGTTTAAAGAGCTCATAAAAATATGTTAGCAATGTAAGGTTGGAGTTGTAATTTGTGAAATTTTTTAAAAGCTAATACATGCATATATATCCTTATCAGCATACTATTAATCACAACATATCTATGCATAGATATGTCAAGTTCAAAGAAGTAGCTCCTGTCTTGAAGCCTCTAAAAGTAACACCAGCCTTAGGATATCTTCCTTACCATATCATAGTAAAAATCATCTTTGGAAAACATTCTGATAAATGTGCCTTAATTCCATTTGCATAACATTGGCAGATAGCATGGTCTCCACTTTTTTTTTTTTGCTGTTTTAAGATTTTTTTATTATTTATTTATTTATTTATTTATTTATTAAAGATTTCTGTCTCTTCCCCGCCACTGCCTCCCCTTTCCTTCCCCCTCCCCCAACCAAGTCCCCCTCCCTCGTCAGCCCAAANTCAGCCCAAAGAGCAATCAGGGTTCCCTGCCCTGTGGGAAGTTCAAGGGCCACCCACCTCCATCCAGGTCTAGTAAGGTGAGCATCCACGAAACTGCCTAGGCTCCCACGAAACCAATAGGTACCGGTAGTGGTGGCGCACGCCGGTAGGATTTGCTGAAGGAGGCAGAGGCAGGAGGATCACGAGTTCGAGGCCAGCATGGTCTCCACTTTTAATAAATTCTTGGAGGCTTATTTATTTAAAATTTCTGTAATGAGTTAGTAATCTCATATGGGTTATTCCTTCTGTTTAAGTTCTCAAAAGTTTCCCAAACTTATGGATTAACATGATTAGTCATCACATGTATTCCAGATAATTTGTTTCTGGGAATAACTAGATGACAGATTTATAGAAAGATCGATGCAGAAATATGAACTTTGTGGAGTATATTAAGTGCAATTACAAATAAATCCTCAAAAAAGAATGGAAATCATTTTAGAGCTAGAGGGGAGTACGTGGTACATGCAAAGATGAAGGTGATGGCTCAGGTGTTTATTTTGTGCTTTCACCTGAACATTTGTCCATCCAAGACACATATTCATCATAATGTACATGAGCAGACATAGTGTCTTCTCTTTTTGATAAAAAGGTGTGACTCCAAAAATTTAACTAATATACTCAGTGTGCATAGTTAGAAGTAGTTGGTAGGATTATAATATATAATATAGGGTTATACTATATAAGCCAAATAAAATTATCAAAAAATTCATAATACCAAGCAAAAACATGGAAAAAAGTTGTTTTCCTGTTTCGTATAATTTCATAAGTATAAAGCAGAAGATTATAGAGGCATTCTTATCACTTATTTCGTTCAAACATTTAGTTTTGTCTTTCATTACAAAATGTGGCTTACAACTGGATTTTTTTTTCCAATGAAGAGCTACTGGGTATATGAACCAGAGCCCAGGGCAGGCCCCATTCCCAGAAGTAGCTGGCAAGAACAAAATAGATTCTTAGTTTTTTATGTGTTCTTTTTGTTTTGTCTTATTAGGCTTGCTTGTTTGTTTGTTCTGCATTTTTACATTTTGTTTTTATTGCTGCAGTTGTTGTTCTTGAGAGATGAAAAGAGAGACAGGAAAGAGAACATAAAATTGGGTGAGTAGAAGTGGAGCAGATTTGGGTAAAGTTGAGGGAATGGGAAGGACTGCGATTAAAAACAAATAGTCTAAAAAATTAAATAATAAAATTAATAGAATATTTACCTGAAAGTTTTGCATAAGCATTTGATTATTATTTTCCTTTTAAAATGTCCAATAATAAAGAGAAAGATCACCATTATTGTCCTAACTGGCTCTGCTTCTGTTGCATGGCATCTGTACCACTAAACACAGTAACCATAGAAAAATGGTTGCTTGCACCAAAACAAGAGTAATTTAGAGCTAAGAAACTTAAGCACCATTGATTTTCGTCATCTACAGAATTTCAGTTGAAATTTGTCTGAATATATTCTGCAAACTATGCTCAAAAGACATTATTTTACTGTCATGCATTTCCTACTGTAGTACCACAGGGCAAAAATTCTGTTATAATAAACAGTTTTCTAGGAAAAAAATTAATTATGCAGAAAATTACCTACACATATGCCACCTAATGTCCTCTGCCGCCAGTCAACCCTAAAGACCATTCACTTGACGATTTTCAGCCTTGGGTTTTATTGTATTTTTTTGTTTTATAAATGTGGTTTTAAATTTATGTAAATGCTTATGTTTGTATGAGATAAATGTGGATACTTTGAAATTTTTAACATTAATGATAATAAAAATAAAATAGTGTGTTATTTAATTTTAGAGATATGTGACTACTACATTTTTATACTTAGGATTTTATTTTGAGATAGTATTAATTATATACTGATTCTAAGCAACAGGATGGAGAAACCTCTGTAATCAAAGAGAAATAACCAAGGTGGCCACTTACACCAGAAAAGAATATTGAGTTTATTCAATTTGACATATAAAATCCACAACCTACTGAACTTCGGCAATCCTCCCATGAGTATTTCAAGTCAATCTTTCTCAATATAGCACCCTACATATCCTTCTATATAACTTGTCCATGCCATGAAAACCATGATGCTTTGTTGCAGGTCTAATTTCCAGAAAACACTTTAGCCTTATGATTTCAAGACGGGTTTGCTTCTGTGATGAAATAATAATACTGACACAATAATCTATTGCCACTCATTCTTGCAGCTGCCATGTTAATTAAAGCACCTTCTGCAGTGCACTGTATTATGGAAATGCACACACACAAACATGTGAACATCTTCAAACCTCTTCATCATCTACTTAGGCACGCTGTGGTGGGCTCTCCTATCACTATATTATTAATTCCTCATTTCAACCAAATGTAACTTAAGAATTCCCACTCTCAGCGAAGATTTTATAATTTTAATCCCTGCCTTATGAGTCGAACTGGTTTTACCTTAAAGGTAATCATTAATATTGTGCCAGGTTTTCTTTTATGCTGCTATAGCAAATTGTTTCTGTGATACTTAGATGTGATAAAAAAAACTGAAACCATGAGCAAAAGTATATATACCTGTCCCTTGTAACTTGTAATATTTGTAAAACTCACACAAGCATGCCTTGAAGAGTGTGTGAAACTAGTAAACAGCAAGGCACAATACTATCCAGAAATAGAACCACACTTTGGAAACTTACATGAATAACTCCCTATTGACACGTTCCTGCACCAACATAGTTTCCAGGTTTATCATGCCTGGAAGTGAGCTTGAGGCAATTTCCCGTACTGCCTGATTTTCAATAGAATGCAAGCATATTTATTACCAGTGACATCTCCAATGCTAGTAGCTACTCATTATGTTCCTTTTGCAATTGTCCAATCTTTTTCTTCAATCACAACACAGGTAAAAAACCTCATGATCATCTTTCAGATGGGATGAAAAAGAAACCATCTCCCTCTTTTCGTGATTATATGCGATTACAGCCTCAGAGAACATGTTACCAATGCAGCTTACCTCGATCACTGAAGTCGTCGACTAGAATGATTTCCTCTATCAGACTCTCCGGGGTTCGGTTAATTATACTGTGTATGGTCCGCAGGAGAGAGGTCCAGCCTTCATTGTGGAATGGGATAATGATGCTGGTGTTTGGCAGCCTTTCAAGGTACATCTTGTGCTTACAGCTGGGGGAAATAGGGGAAGAAAAAGATGTCCAATGTAACACTGTTAGCACAGATCACGCTGCAGTCTATTCAGTATTTTATAGACAGTGATAAAGTCATGGGTTTGTCTAGTAATTATCAAACAGGGATTGTGAATTACAGCAGATAGTCTTTTCATTCCTGAATCTTTATTTGCTCCTTCTGACATACTTTAAAAGATATTTCATATCTGGGTGGCTCAAATATTTCAAAATGTTGAGATATTGTGCTCTTAATAAGGCTGATGTGTCTTATGTATACATGGGTGTGCACAAGTGACTCGTGCAGTGCACTGTGTGGTATACATCTGTGTGCATGTATGTACGTGGATGTGCTTGTCTTTGTCTCCATTTTATCTTTTTTCTTTTTTTTTTTGAAAAGGGTCTCTAACTGAATCTGGAATATGTCCCATTCCAGCTAGAGTGGCTGGCTAGTAAATCCCTGATCCACCTTTCTCCATACTTTCAGAACTAAGGTTACTGGAAGGTACTACTGTGTCCTAATATGTGTGTGGGGAGTGAGGATCTGAACTCAAGTCTATGCACATGTATAGGAAGGACTTTACCCATTGACCCATTACCACATGGTACCATACTTTTACTTAATAAAAGAAAGTATAAATCACAACTATTTCAAATAATTCCCATGGAAAGCATAATTAAGGTTTAAATGTGATTCATGAATAGTTTTGCAAATTAACTTCTTAATAATGCGGTTGAATTATTTCATTTGACTTTGATATATTTCATTATCTTGATGGCATTCATGACTTGTTGGGAGAAGAAACCCATGCCTTAAAGGAAGATGTGACTCTAAATGACCATTTACTTCTTATAAACCATGTGGATTTAATCACCAAGTAAAGATAGTATTACATCCCTTAGGAAAACTTTAAAAAGAAATCCCAAGGTGAGAGTTATCATTTCAACATAATCTGAAATAATTTTACTTCGTACCCTTATATAAATTACTAATTATAAAGTTTATTGTGTTCAAAAATATTTACCTATAAATATATTTAAATGCTTTTATAAAATAAAAAGTTGGAAAAATCATGCAAATTATAGTGAGCTATGAACAATTAAAATATTATAAATATGTGAAATTTATTGTAGGGTAACTTAAAAAGCCAAAAAGAGATGTATCAGCAATTTCTAATGGAACCGAGTGAGGCAGATGACTTTGCACACAATGGACAAATATGGAAGGAGAGCCCATATAATGCCATACACATCATAGTTATGACTTCTGAATGAAATCAAAGGTTTGAAATAATTGTGCTTCTACATATTCATGCATCAGTACCCAAAGAAATTGACTCTGCTTCATGAACTGTCACATTCTATGGTGTTTTGGGAAAGCAAATGATAGATCTAGGAAAATAAAAGATTTTCCAAAAATGAAGACAACATTTTGTTCATATCAATTGCTTATGAGCTAAGAAAAGCCTATATTCATGTATATTATTCTCTAAATGATAGGTCTGTGATGCTCAAAAGAATGTGAATACCCTTGCAAAATCCAATAAAAGCACAAAACAACACAAAAGAAACAAGACAAAACTTACAGACCTATGTAAGACTAACCCAGTGTCATACAAACTTTCTCTCTTAGAAATGTTTTCAATCATCTCAATCAGCATAAACTCAAATTGTTATCACACATGAAAAGTGAAAGGCCATTTTCAGATTATTCATTCAATGCTTAACTGAGGGTTCTGTATAAGACAGAATCCAATTGGAAATTATCTTAGTTTAGAGTTACCATTGCTGTGGTGAAGCCGGGTGGTGGTGGCGCACGCCTTTAATCCCAGCACTCGGGAGGCAGAGGCAGGCGAATCTCTGTGAGTTCGAGGCCAGCCTGGTCTACAAGAGCTAGTTCCAGGACAGGAACCAAAAAGCTACGGAGAAACCCTGTCTCGAAAAATAAAAAAAAAAAAAAAAAAACATTGCTGTGGTGAAACACCATGACCAAAAACAACTTGGGCAGAAAGGGTTTATTTCTTTCACCCTCTCATATAACTGTTCTTCTTCATAATCAGTGAGAGAAAGCACTCAAGCAGGCTAGAAACCTAGAAGCATGACTGAGGCAAAGGCCATGGAGGAATGCTGCTTACTGGTTTGCTCCCTCTGGTTAGGTTAGCCTACATTCTTACAAAGCGTAGGACCACTAGTCCGGGCATTACACCATCCACTAAGAGGTGGGGTGGGCTCTACCACTAATTACAAATTAAGAAAATGCCCTACAGACTTGCCTACAGGCATATCTTATGATATTTTCTTAATGGAGGTTCCGTTATCTCAGATGATAAACTTGTATCAAGTTGATATAAAACTACCCAGCACAATTTACCCTTTCTCAATTTGACACACAAACACACCACTGTAAAGCCACAACCTTCCCTTTCTTGTTCATCCACAAGATCACACATTATTATAAACATCACAATATAAAACATTTTGCAAACTTGAAAGGTCCATGATCTCGCAAATTCACTTTAAGAATACAGGCTCTTTATAAATCCCAAAGCCAATTTTAACTACCAAAGTTTCTTTTTAAAACCAAAAGTCTTTTAGCAGTGTGTTTCTAGTAAATAAAATGTAAGTTTAATACTTTCTTATTTCAAGAAGGAATGACCAGGGCACAGTCATAATCAGATCAAAGAAAAACCAAACTCAACCTCCAATATCAGTGATTCACTTATGTGCTTCTAGGATCCCCCAAGGGTCTTGGTTCCATCTCAGGCTACGTCATCTGAAGCAAGCACAGCTTGTTTTCCAGAGTTAGGCAGGCTCTACTCCATTATTGCTGCTGTTCTTGGTGTCCATCCCATGTTACTGTCATCTCCAAAATGCTGGGGTCTCTTGCTGAAACTAGGCTGCACTTTCACCGATAGCCTCTCCTGGGCTTTCTTCATGGTGCCAACCCTCAAATACTCTGAATTACCTATTTAATCCTGTGTCTTCAACTGTTACTAAGGCTATACCTTCACCAATGGCCTCTCATGGCCTCTCACAGGGCCAAAGCTTAGCTGTTCTCCATAATTCTTTCATGAGTTCAAGATTCTTACACAACCAAATCAGCTGCTAGAGGAAGGTATGCCTTGGCCACCTCTGCCACACAGCTTCTGCCTGTTGACTCTCAGGAAACGCTTCTAAGGAGATTTACCTCAAGGATGCTGATCACTTCCAAATCACTGCCAAATATCCAGCTTCAATTGCCTCAGTAAAGCAAAGGGTTCATTTTAGTAGTACTGGTCTTTTACTTATTACGGCTGGTTCTTCAGCCCCAGCTGCCCAGAACCACAGAATCAAAATTTAAAATAGCAAATGTGCAACCACTCTGATAGACTTTAAACAACTCTCAAACCTTCTTCTGAAGTAGCACAAGCCACACGCCTATCATGTGTATTTCTCTCAATACTTTTTCAAGTCCCCACAGAACAACATGCCAATCTTTGAACACTCAATAGTTTTCTTGCCTAAAGTTCCGAAGTCCTCCCACAGTCCTCCCCAAAATAACACAGTCAGGCCTGTCGTAGCAATGTCCCACTCTCGATACCATTTCTGTCTTAGTTTAGGGTTACCTAAAACACCATGGCCTAAGACACTTGAGGAGGAAAGGTTTTATTTTACTCAAACTCACAAATAACAGTTTATTATAAATAAACAGCGGGGACAGGAACTCAAGCAGGGCAGCAACCTGGAGGCAGGAGCTGATGCAAAGACCATGAAGGAGTGCTATTTACAGGCTTGCTTCCCTTTGCTTGTTCAGCCTGTTGTCTTATAGAAGGCAGGACCACCAGGCCAGTGACGGCACCAACTATAATGAAATATGCCCTCCCTCATCCAACTGATATTTTAAATAAATGCTGTACAAGACTTGCCTACAGCCCTATTTTAAAGAGGCATGTCTTTAATCTATCATTCCTTCTCTTGTTTGACTTTAGCCTGTGTCAAGTTGACATAAAAATATTCAGCACAGGAAACAATGAATATAATGAAATAATGTTAGGACACTCTCAATAACATAAGAAATGCAGAATAAGAAATTCTGTAGCATTTGCAATAGGATGTATAATGTAGATGTTTAATTGCATACTACAGGCTAAGACAAGATGGCCCTTAAAGCAGTTTGGAATGTCCTCTTGAATTTTAAATATTCTATCTTGGTTTTCTATTTCTTTAATAAAACATAGATGAAAATCAGCTTAGGTGGTAAAAGGGGCCTCAATGCCTTACTTTTTGTAATTCATCTACATGGTAACCAAGGCAGGAACCGAAGCCATGAATCTAGAGGCAGGAAGTGAGGTGGGGGCCATGGAGAAAAGTTTCTTACTGGCTTGGTTTGCATGGTTTACTTCTTTTCCTTCCTTATACAATCTTTGGTCATCCACGTGCCCAGGGGTGGCACTGTCCATGGCGTTAAGAGAACTTCCATACCAATCATAATCAGGGAAATGTCATATGTGTCATATGTGCATGCCAATATGCCAATCTGGGGGAAGCAATTCCTCACCCGACTTTTCCTCTACCTAATTTCTGTTAATTTGACAGAAACTAACCAATACAATTAAAAGTCAAAGGTGGCCTGTAAAAGGAATGCTCAAGATATATTTTCAAATAGAAATGCCATGATTCTATGTTTGGGAAAAGAAGACAGGGAGAACTCTCATGTCTTCTGAACACAGCAACTGATTTAGTTACCTAGGGAATGATGTAGGAATTAGGTATTATCTTCACAGTTTAAACATTTTATGATTGAGAATAAAGTTAGTATGTTCAGTTTGGACAGTAAAGGTGTCAAAATGTCCTGTAATTTGAAAACAGCACTTATTTGTATATATTACACAACTGTCTTTCATCTATCAGTCACCTACCAGGCATCTGTCTAATCGGTCACCTACATCCCTGTACATCTGTGTGTAGTTTAAGATAAGGATCTGTTTTGTAGGGTCTAGGGATGTAGGACAGTCGTAGACT